GTGCATCCTCCCCAAGGATTTTCATGTGTAGTAGCTACTCCTAGAGGGACAGTATGGGGATCAGTTTATTAGCTTCCTTTTCATTTGCAGGTGCAAGCACTGGAGGTGGCCTGGCTGATCTGCTCTGTGGTCTGGCTCCATTCTTTGAGGTCAAAGAATGTGAGCGCTCTCACTCTGCCTTTATTCAGTCAGGATAATGTAGTTTACACTGGAATTTACCTGCTTGTGTCAGCAAAACTGAGACTGCAGCCATCATGATGACACCGATGAAGCCATCTTGTCATCATAAGCCATCTCGTGTCACCTTTGAAAATACAGCACAAGGGGGATGTAAGTGAAGTGGTATCAAGTGCATTGGGATCTCGGGTTTACATTAGTGCACAGGACCTGAAAGAAAACAAATATGAAAAATTTGCCCCTTGAATAAAAACTTCTAGGATGGTCAGAGTAAGTCTTACAATCTGTATATTTATAGGCTAATAAAAATGAAGTATGTAGCTAAAATCCAATCCTTAGCTTTAATCTTTAAAGTTGATGGTAAGGGCTGGCCCGGTGGCGCACAGGATAAGCGCGCCGCTTGGGAAGCGTGGTGGCGCTCCCGCCCGAGGGTTCGGATCCCACATGCAGACCGGTTCCCGCTCGCTGGCTGAGCGAGGCGCGGGAGCAACGCCGAGGGGATGACACCGATGAAGCCATCTTGTCATCATAAGCCATCTCGTGTCACCTTTGAAAATACAGCACAAGGGGGATGTAAGTGAAGTGGTATCAAGTGCATTGGGATCTCGGGTTTACATTAGTGCACAGGACCTGAAAGAAAACAAATATGAAAAATTTGCCCCTTGAATAAAAACTTCTAGGATGGTCAGAGTAAGTCTTACAATCTGTATATTTATAGGCTAATAAAAATGAAGTATGTAGCTAAAATCCAATCCTTAGCTTTAATCTTTAAAGTTGATGGTAAGGGCTGGCCCGGTGGCGCACAGGATAAGCGCGCCGCTTGGGAAGCGTGGTGGCGCTCCCGCCCGAGGGTTCGGATCCCACATGCAGACCGGTTCCCGCTCACTGGCTGAGCGAGGCGCGGGAGCGACACCGAGGGTTGCAATCCCGTTGCCGGTCCCCGGTCTGGTACGGGGGCAACACTGAGGGTTGCGATCCGTTGCTGGACACGGAAAAAGACAAAAGACAAAAAAAAAAAAAAAATAAAGTTGATGGTAAGAATTGAACATGAGCCTGGTTCCGGACAACCCTATTGCTACATGAGTAATTCAGTTCTGATGGTCTCCTCTGGGTTCAGGAGATGTTATGCAATTCTTAGTTCTTTATATGACGCATCAATATTGTACAGATATCCCTCTTTCACCTTCTTAAGAAACCCATGTCACTTTGCCTGGAGCATATTCTCCCTTTAGCTACACTGTTTGCTTCCATTGCACAAGTCCCTGTGAGTGCTGAGCACTTCTCTCCAAATGTTTTTGTTCTCTGTCTGTACTTTTGGCCAGCATTTGAGAATCACCCAGAGGAGCTTGTTAGAATGCGTATTTCCAAGCCCACTTCTTGGAATTTTGAATGAATATTTCTACAGTGTGCCCTAAGTATCTATATTATAAAAATCACCCAACAAGATTCTGAGGAAATGATTTGAAATACAGATGGTCCCTGACTTAATGATGGTTTGACTTTACAATAGTGCAAAAGCAATACATTCAGTAGAAACTGTAAAGTACTCATACAACCATTCTGTTTTTCACTTTTAGTACAGTATTCAATAAATTGCGCAAGATATTCAACACATTATTAGAAAGTAGGTTTTGTGTTAGATGATTTTGCCCAAGTGTAGACTAATATAAGTGTTCTCAGCATGTTTAAGGTAAACTAGGCTATGCTATGATGTATGGTAGTTTAGGTGTATTAAATGCATCTTGGACTTAACGATATTTTCAACTTACAATATATTTACCAGAATATAACCCTGTCGTAAGTTGAGAAGCACCTGTATGAGGAATGCTGCCTGAGTGATGAGGTGCTTGTCTCATCTCAGATTCACAGGAGAGGGTTAGAATTTGGGGCTTGTGTGTTTTGGGGGAGGCATATGTACTATTCTGTCTGCTTCTACATGTCTATGTTGTTACTGTCAATTGTTGTTATTGATTGATTGATGCCATTTATTTTTGTTCATTGAAAGTATAGCAGGACAATTTATTAAGGTATTAATTTGTACTTTGCTGTAGTTTTTTTTTTTTTTTTTTTTTTATTTCCCCCACGGTCATCTGTCTCATTACTAACAGTGTTTGTCTCACAAGTCTCTGATTTTATAAACTGACATAATTTCTTGTTCTGTTATGAATGCACACTGCTCTAGTCCTTCAGTAAGCGTTTTGACTGTGACCCATCATGTGAAGTCAAGTGTGTAATTTTCCACTCGCAGCAATCCACTTTGGGTTTACGGACCCTCAACCTGTAATAGCCATTTGATGGTAGGGAAACTGTCTAAACCCCATGACCACAGTTTAAATTTGCATAAATCCCTGGCCTCAGAGCACTTGAAGAACTGGTGCAGAAGCTGCTCATAATCTTTGGTGAAAGCTTAAACTCACTGAGCAGAGATCTGATGTGTCCTTGAGGAGGGAGCAACAAGAAATGACCATGTGGAGGTAGTTAGGGAGCAGAGGTTGAGAGGGGACATTCTGAAGCATGGAGAGGTGACAGCAATGTGGCCCTGCTCTCTGGCAGGAATGGTTTCATGGGGCCCTCAGGCAAGTGGGAGCCCATTACCACAGTGAAGCCTAGGCCCTGCCTGTATTCAAGCATGGCATGGAAATGCATATTTGTATGCCCATTCAGACTTGCAAAGGGCACTATCTCAAATTAGAGACTCTTCTTTTGCCAGGCACTGTTATTAGGCACTGGAGATACATCGGTGAACGAAATAATGACCCTGTATTTGTGGACTTTACACTATAGAGTCGGACTCTAGTGTGGCCCTAGGGAGTGCCAGGAATCACCAAACATGATAAGCCTGAATTTTCTAACAGTCTGGGGGGATGGAGATTTAAGTTGATTGAAGAAAATGAAGAACTGTTCCATTTCTTGCATACTTGATTGTGCTAGCAAATTCTTGCCTGCTACCATAGTAATGGTTGCCATTTTTCCCCTGTCTGCTATGTGACAGGCAATTTTAATAGATATTTTATTTCCTTCAATATTCTTAAGAACTCTGTTGAGTCATTTTCCTCATAAAGGATCCACCCATTAATCTATCCACCTAAGCATGCATCAGAAGGCAGTGTGCAAATCCTCCCACGTTGAGCTGTATTCTTACACAGATTAACTAATGAATCAATAGGATGCTTCTTGTGGGTCTTTCCCTAGCTTCTCTTCCTCTGCCAAGCCTTACATACTCTAAATTCTTTGGCCCTCGTCTCTTTTCATATCACTCTCTTCCTGAGGGCAATCTTTTCCATGGCTTACATATTATCTTCATGCAAATAAGAACTCTTGCCTGAGTCCCAAATGGTATGTCCAATAGCCTATAAGAAATTCACACTCAACATATTAAAACTGGAGCTCATTTTCTTCCCAAATCTGCTCTTCTTCCCAAAGTCCCTATTTCAGTGAACAGTCCCTGCATTCCTCCAGGCACCTAAGTCAGAAACCTGGAAGTCATTTGGACCCCTCCCTCTTCTTTATGTACCATATATTATGAATTATTGCCTTAAAAACCCCATCTGATCCTTACTCTCCACTCCCATCATGATAGCCTGTGTTCAAGTTCTTATCTTTTGCTTTAACTATTGCTAAAGTGGCCTCCCTGACTTCAATCTCAATCTTCCAGATTAATTTTGCCAGAAGATCTTTTAAAACGTGTTCATTTAATTTCTCACATTAGAAACTTCCAAACTTTCCATTGTTTAAACTACAGTAGAAATCCAGTTCCCTTGGTATAGTATACAACACTCTTCATGATCCAGCCCCAGTACAACACTCTAGTCCCTCCACCCAGTATTCTCCTTACCATACCCCTGCATCTGGTCGGGCTGAGTCCAGGCAGCCACCATCCCCATGGATCATGTCAGCTTAAGCCTCCTGGATTGTTCGTGTTATTCCTGCTCCTACAATGACCTCCATCTCCTTGTCTATTTAAAGGAAACCTACTCATCTGTGTGCACTGGCCACAAGGATTACCTCCTTTCTGAAGCTTTTCCTGCCATCCCCCCACCTCCAGCACTGACGATCTCCTTTTATAAATACCCCATATATATTTCACATAGCACCTACAGTATTTTGATTACACTTAACTGATTACATGCCTTCTCTTTGTTAGACTCTAATCTCTTGAGGACATGGACCATACTCTATTGCTTTAAATCCCAAGTGCTTAGCACTTTGCTTGGTGAATAGTTAAGGCGGTCATACACTTGGTTTGTGCCTGTAGACCTGGCTTAACTATTAACTACATCCTCTTTCACTCTCAAAAGTGTCTTAATTTAGCAGATAAATTATATATGATCATCTTCCACAACTCACTGTACACGCTTGGCAAATGCTTGAGTGAATGGATGAATAAGCCTGAGTTTCACTAGAACTGGCCGTCTGTCGTCGTTTGCCAAACGTCGGGAACTGGTCTGGAGATGGTGTGTCATCTTTCCAGTTATAGTGTGGAAATAGCCTACTAGTCCACGCCCGTATTCCTTAGGACCGCACGACTCCACTGACTTAGCAATACTTCAAGTTACCTCGGAAAACACAGCACTCAGTCCCCTTTTGGACTAGCTGCATGGTTTCAGAATTTGCCATAACTTATCTCATTTTGTAATCATCAGGGAAAATTTCCTGATGTCGGTCTTTCCAAAAGCTCAACGAATTCATAAATATCAGATAGCCCCGCAGTGGAGGCTGAGACGCACAATATAAATTGTCGGAACTACCACCTAACCCTATGCTCACGTTAGGTCGCAGCTGGCGCGATTCAGTTTCGCTTTGCCCAAAGCAAAAATGGTCTCCGTTGGAGTCAACGCCCTTTCCTTTGCGGACCAATCGGAATCTAGAATTCAGGTCACCAGCGCTCTCACTTCCGCCCGGTCTTCCTCGGTCTCTCTCTAACTTCTTGCCGAGACGAGACGGTTCGCCGCCGACTCGGACCTGCTTCCGCGGCTGGGGCGGCAAGGCCCGGAGGCGGCGGGCGGGATGAGCGCGGTGCGCGGCGGAGCGGCACGGACGCTGAGGGTCCCGGGCCGCCACGGCTACGCCGCTGAATTCTCCCCGTACCTGCCGGGCCGCCTGGCCTGCGCCGCCGCGCAGCACTACGGCATCGCGGGTGAGGCTCATACTCTTCTTCCTTGAGTATCTAGGAATCTACAGGGAAGCTGGCCTCCACTCCAGCACACCCAAAAGGAAACTATAAAGAAAAAGTCATCTTTTTTTTTTTTTTTTTCCCCTTTTTGTCTTTTTTTGTGACCGGCAATGGATCGCAACCCTCAGTGTCACGCCCGTACCGGACCGGGACCAGCAATGGG